TGCGCTGGGCCCCCTCCAGTAGCTCCTCATCTTTCTTGAACTGGGGAGCCCAGAACTGGACACAGGACTCCAGATGGGTCCTCCCCAGGGCAGAGCAGAGGGGGAGGAGAACCTCCCTCGACCTGCTCGCCACACTCCTCTTGATGCACCCCAGGATCCCATTGGCCTTCTTGGCACCCAGGGCACGCTGCTGGCTCATGGTCACCGTGTCGTCCCCCAGCACTCCCAGTCCCTCTCTGCAGAGCTGCTCTCCAGCAGGTCCGCCCCAGCCTGTCCTGGTGCCTGGGGTTGTTCCTCCCCAGGTGCAGGACCCTGCCCTTGCCCTTGTTGAACCTCATCAGGTTCCTCTCTGCCCAACTTAAATATTCAACTTATAATAAAGGTCTTTATTATAAGACCGAAGCACAAGGGGTGCCCAGTCCCTTGCCACGCTGGCGGGGCCTCACGGCATTGAGCTCTCATCCCTCACCCCAACCCCAAGAAATCTGGATGCGGGGTGCTCCGGAGTGGCAGTCCTTTGCTTTCCCACTCTCTGGCATCCCTCCGGGATTTGTTTTCCTGGGCTTTTACCCTTTAATTCAACCCGGAGCTGTATGAAATTCAGCCGGTTGGTGCCACTTTCCATTCCAAAATCCTTCTCCTGCTGGGTTTTCCAGCTCCTGACAATACAGTCATCCCAGATCTCCCTGCACTGCAGAAAAGCAGCTCTTTATGCCCCATTATTTGAACCCACCGCTGTTCCAATTAATAAATAACAGTCAAAACCCACGATGCCGCGGCAGGGTGTCCCCGGGCTGCTTTCCCGTGGCTCTCAGGGCTGTCAGACCCCGGCGCTGACCCCACGGTGTTTACTCTCTGCTGAGGTGTCTTGGGGTGGGGAAAGGCATTGCAGGACGAGGCAGTTGTGCGCTTGTTTGTCTAGTTATCCTACTAATTAATTATCCTGCCCCCACCCACCGGAGCTGAGTGCGCTGGTGCAAAGCCGTAGCAGATGCTGTAGCTCAGCTGTGCCCCCGCTCACCCCGGGCAGGCAAAGCTCTCCGAGCTGACACCTCCCCGGGGCATTTCTTCCTTCTTATTTTTGCTGACATTTTTTTTTTTGTTCACCACACGGGCAGGAAACACATTTTTGACTGTCTTCAACCTGTCCCTGTTTGTGCGTTCGTGTACCAGCTTACGGGTAGAGTTATTTGCTCACCCGGGCATATTTATTTGCTCACCCTTCCCTAAATTGCACGGACTTAGAGCTTTCCCTGCAGCTCAAGAGATTTCCCCCAGACTTCAAATTTACTTTTAGAAAAAGCCCTCTGCGTCATCTCGGAAATGAGATGTTCTAATATGAAATAAAGCTTTTTTTCAGCGACGGGGGGAAATGAAACCAGCACTGAAGCAGAGAGCGGTGCACAGCTCTTACTCTCTGCTTCCTCCTTCTTAGTCCATAACACAAAAAACCCTACAAGCTTGTGCAGAATTATGGAAGAACCATGCTCGGAGCTTCTCTAGAAAATCACCATTTCTCTCCAGCTCATTATAGGAAAGGCCATTTGGGCTGTTAGAGAAATGGCCTTATAAGTAGAAGGCTCTGATATTTTTTTTTGGTGCTGCTCAAGCTTTGTGAATGATTTCATATGGAGTGTTTTTTGTGTTTCCTTTCCATTTTTCTTTAATTTTCTGATTTTTGTTTTTTTTTGATGCTGCTCAGGCCTTGTGAATGATTTCATATGGAGTTTTTTTGTGTTTCCTTTCCATTTTTCTTTAATTTTCTGATTTTTTTTCTTTGTGGTTGCTGCTCAGTACTTGTAATGATTTAATACGGAGGTTTTTTTTTTCTTTCTTTTCCATTTTTCTTTAATTTTTTAGAGGATTTTTTCTCCATCTCATCCTTGCAGATATTTGAAGAGCCCCAAACGGGTATTTCCCGTCAGTGGTTCAGTGACAGCAGCCACGTGTTTAGCAGACATCCTGAGCAGACAGTTGTTGCAGATGTGGAGACCTGCCTTGCGGTTAGGACGGGGGAGGTCTGCGGTGTCCCAGGTGCAGAGGACCGAGGCACGGAGGTGGCACCTACACCAGCGTCGAGCAGGCAGAGCCTGCAGGCATGGGTGCTCCCTGGGCTTTGAGTTTCAGACCATGAGGGTCTCCAGTCTCCAAGAGGTTTCTTACTGGAGTGTTGATGCTCTGGGGGTGGTGGGCAGCAGCTCTGCTTGCCCACACCATCCCATTCTGGAGAATATTTGGGTTCAGTGTGGTGTCCGCTGGTTGTTGGTCTGGTGCTCAGCCAAGCGAGTTGGGGTGGGAGATGTTCACGGTCTTTGTGCATCTGGCCAGTGGTGGCTTCTGCTCTTGGAAGGGTTGGTGCCAGTTTGCCCGTGTCCTTACTTCCTAGCTCTGACTGTGGTTTTCCACCTTCTCCTGGTCCCGATCACCCTGGTTCCCATCCCTCCCCATCTGTCCCCTGCGCAGACACCCCTTCCCTCGCGTGTTCAGCTCCTGCAGCAAGAGGCAGCTGGAGAACTACTTCCAGAAGGGAGGTGGCATGTGTCTCTTCAACCTGCCCGACACCAAGGACCTGGTGGTGGGACGGAAATGTGGCAACGGCTTTCTGGAGGAAGGAGAAGACTGTGACTGCGGGGAGGTGGAGGTACAGTGCTGGCTGCTGCATCGGTTTCCTGCAGAGGCTTTTGCATCTCAGCTCAGCTGCTGGGCAGCAGGACGTGGCCCACGTGGAGAGGGGTCTTTCCAAGGCAAAGGGGTTTGCTGGTCACCACAGGGACTCCATCCCAAGGGCTCTTCCCCATCCCACCTTCCTAAATCCATTTAACCTGGGCCTGCCTTGCTTCTTGACTTTGCCCCAGGGTGCTCAGGTCTTCCTTATCCATTGCCGTGCCTCAGTTTCCCCATCAGCAAAAGGAGAAGAGCAATGCTGTGATGGGTGGAGAAGGGGCTGGGGGTAGCAATGGGGACGGGATGGACTCAGTGATCGTGGTGGTGTCTTCTTCTTCTCCCCACACAGGAGTGCACCAACCCGTGCTGCAATGCGCACAATTGCACGCTGAAGGAGGGGGCCCAGTGTGCCCATGGCGACTGCTGCCAGAGCTGCAAGGTAAGCCCCCCACCGTGCCCCCCACCGTGTCCCCCTGCCCTCTAGTGGGCTGTGCAGGGAGATACGGGCCCTACCATTCCCTCAGGACCCATGTGCCGCATGTCCAGAAGGTCAAACCCCCCCCAGACCCAAATGAGGAGGGTTATGCGTAACCTTGTGTCCGCAGGAGAGTCTCTGCTGGCTGCTTCATGGCTGGGGTCGCACCCAGGAATTTCACTTTATACTTTGACAGCCCCATATAGTCCTGCAGGGGACATTATAGGTGGCTTATGGCCCCAAGCTGTACCAGGAGGCACAGAATCACACAGAATCACAGAATGGCAGGGGTTGGAAGGGACCTCTGTGGGTCACCCAGCCCAACCCCCTGCCCAAGCAGGGTCACCCACAGCAGGCTGCACAGC